TGCTGGGGTAACCAACAACGGATGCTTGAAATCGCCGACGAGCTTTAAAGTCATGTGTATTTTAAAAATAGCATAATGAGTGTAAAATTGGCCATGCAGTTACTAAGCAAAAGTGTGCCAGAATTAGTATTTTTGGAAAAGGTAATACCAGACGGACAAATTAAAAGTAAATTAAAAGATAGTGCGGCAACTGCCGAATTTTGCTTGTTTTTTAATAGCTTGGGTGATATTCTGAATTCCAAAAACAGATCTTTAAAAGACGAGTTTAGAGCTCCATTGATGGACTTATGGATACTTATGACCGGCTGAAATGTCAGGCACAAAGTTTTGCACAATATATTGAAGGTCTAAGGGACTTAAATAATACACCAATTTTGGAAACGGGTAGAAAACCCGGATTTATTGGCATGATAATTTGCCTTCGCAACATATTCCCTTACCTTTTAAGTTATAAGCTTTCTCAGGATTTTCTTGAAACATTTTTTAGTGCTATTCGAGCAAGAGGTGGATTCAATAATAATCCCAATGCCATACAATTCAAAAGAGCATACAGACGCCTTTTGGTTAGCCATGAATTGAAAGAGTTCGAAGGCGATAATTGTACATTTGATGGAATACCCATACTTCAAGCGTCTTCCAGTTCAAAAAAGCTGGGCTCGAATCGTAACATCCGTTCACGAATCGAAAACGATACGAAAGAAAATTACGTGATACGTCAGGCAGTATAAGCTGAATGAGACAAAGAGTACGTTCACTTAAGTCATAATCCGAAAAATGGGTTTTTACGTGACGAGTAGTACGATATCGTATGTTACGATTCGAGCCCAGGTTGAAGGTAAATACGACCTTCAGCATACATGCAAAAACTGAACACAACCAGTGCTTAATAGCTTTACTATGCTTTTTACTGTATACTATTTAGCAATAACTATAACATCTGCAATAAATAATTCAAAAGGCCTTATTTTCTTTTGTTTCAGATAATTCTGAATACGCGAACACTGCTATTAACTTGTTTTTTTTCTATAAAAGTATTTTTTTTTTTTTTGCAAATAATTTTTGCAAAATTTCGACTCCATTAAATGCAACTGTTCTTTTGTTCGAAAATTTTCGATTAACTTGATGTCTTCATTTGTCAATTGTATTGAAATCTTAGGATTTTGGTGGCTTTTTTAAACCATTCATATATACATAAATATCTCATCCATCTTCGTTACGCCACGTTTTATATCATGTTTTGCTTATGTGTTTTAAATTTCAGCAAATAATTTTTATACAGAGAATTTTATCTAATTTAAATCATATAACTATGTATGTATGGTCTGTTAATTGCTGGTACTTTTTTTTCTAAATTAGTACATTTTTGTTGGCCATTTGGGCAAAATTATAAAACTCATTTATCATCCCTGCGCTGATTACTGGGCCTGACACAGGATGAATCAATGCTTCGAGAATCGTTGGTGATATGCGCCGCAACATTTCGCCTAGTAAAACAGAACAGAAACGAAATTCGCATCAATTGAATGGCAAATGAAAAACATAAAAATACAAAAGCGAAAAGATAAATCACCAAATTTTGCCATTCTGATTCTTGCTGATAATTATCTGATAGAAAAATGGGGAAACAAAGCTCCA